CGGGGGGGCCCGCCCGGGCCCACCTGCCTCTGGGGACTTGTCGGGGCTTCCTGCTAGCGGCCTGCTCTCCAGGTTGCCGTGGGGGAGCCCGCCGCACCCCCAAAGCGCGTCCCACGAGCCCCACAGCCTGAGAAGTGACTTCCGCGGTCGCGAAAAGGCACGGGGACTCTTTCGCGCGCGTTGCAAGACCCCAGTCGCCGCGTTTCGCTCTGCAACCCTACCCCCCAGCCAGCGCAGCTGCCCTAAACCCCAAATCCCAGGCGCGCCTCTTTTCCGGTCCCTCTCGCGTCCGCCGGCGTGCTTCCTATTTCCATCTTGACGCCTAGACCTCTTGCCTGAAACCTCCGAGGCCTTCGCGCTGCCAGGCGTCCTGGGCTGCAAGCAAACAGCCCCCCTCTCCGCCCCCTGTGGTTTATACCATTCCGGAAGGTGTTTTTGAAGCTGTGAATGCAGACTCAGGCTTTGGATTAAGGGCCTCATTTTTCAACTAGCTGCATGGTTGGAGACAAGATTCTTAACCTCAGTCTCCTTATCTGCAAAATGGGAGAAGGGCTGTCCCTGTACGTGAGGTTTAAGGACCATATATGTATGTGTTAAATGCTTGCACGAAGTCCTGGTGGGTAGCAGCATTATACCAGATGGCCAGAACCGTGGTGACATTCAAAGTAAGGTGGCCTTTTTCCGACCAGGGTTGAGCCCCCGAGGGATCCTGAGACACGTCTCACAAATCGAGGTGAGCCCAAGCCACTGGCTAGGCCTGAGGGGAGGACAGACACGGCGAGGGGCAGACAAGCGCGCGAATCACTCAAAACCTTCCGCCTTTGCAAATGAATAGGACTCTGTCTAAGGCTTCCGCCATTCATTCGCCAGGTCTGCAATGCCTAAGGCTTAAACCTGGCGCGGCGGTAAATTTAGCCTGAAGGCAGCGCCTCCTAAGGGGCGGGGATGTCTCCTCGCAGGAAGGAAAGGGAACAGGGTAAGAAAATGGAGTTGCCTCTAGAAAGAGGAATCAGGGAGAGGAGACGTTGGGGGCTGCTGGTGGACCACTGACAAACAGCAATTGGACGCCTAAGAAGGCTCCCCAGAAATTGGGCCACCGTGGGAGCCGTGCGAGACAGACTTCCCATCTGGGAAGGGCTGCCTACGGGTAATTGGGTTTGCTCGAGTTGCCTCTATAATTAATAAGTGATTTGACTTGGAGATTGGCAATAGTCATTGAAAGGAAGCCGCGGGCGTAGGGGTGTGAGGCCTGGGAGCCTCGCTCCGAAATCCAGTGACCGCGGAGGAGGACGGTTTAAGGAACACGACGAGTGTGATCATATTGGCACTTACCCTTCCAGTGTTTGAGTAATTCGTTGCTTAGCTACTTTGGATAGGCCATTATTTTGCAAACTGGAAACATTTGCAAGTGGTGATATTTTGCTCCCGCCTGACGCAGGGGCTGCAATCCTACCCCAGGCTCCGCTGAACTCTTCGAAATATATATGCATAAATTGTTCCTAATGAGACCATCTGTTTTTTATGGCCCCTCTGGAAGAAAGAGGAACCCGAAGACTGCTCCGTCTTGCAGAAATCTGTGGCCAGGCAGGCCTGGGAAAGAAAAAGGAGAGATTAGAACAGAACGGTGTGCATGATTTAACAATACACAGACAGCAGGTTGGGGGGGGGGTTGAGATGTG